AGAATATAAATTCATCAAGATGATGTTTCAAACAGCAACTAAAAAGATCAGTATTTATCAAGTCAAAATAGCAGATGTAGAGGGAAAATTCAAATGGACATGTGAGGTGAATCAAATCGAAAAGAATGTATTGTGGACTTTACGAAACCCTAAGTATAAACAGTGGATTGAGCATTATGAGCACTTAAGAGGTGTAGACATGCACGATTATGATGAAAAGCTGTTTTTGCTTGTTCACCTCATTTTTGGGGGCGAGTGCAATCTCCAGAATCAAGATACCAGAGTTGGAAATGATGGGACGCCAGTTGGTGAGAGGACGATGTTAGGATGGACGATAGTGTCACCGGGACGAGAGACAAACCCATCTTACTTAATTACAAAAACCCCTCATGAGGATTACAAGCAACTTTATAGTTTGGATGTGTTAGGTTTAGACGACAATGCACAAAGGGATCAAGGAAGTTTGTATCAAGAGTTTAAAGAACAGTTGACGATGCGAAGCAAATGGTCAGTATGAATATTCACCTCCATGGAGGGATAATCACCCAGAATTGCCAACGAACTATCAGGTTGCCAAGCGGAGGTTAAGTCTTTGACAAAGCGATTGGCGAAACATGTTTGATATAAATAATATTAAACGTGCGGTATTAATTGAAATATCGTTGTGAAACTACTTCATTTTGTGGCCATTTAATTGACAGACCGCACACATTTAAGCACTGCGTGCCTATTTTTTGTGTATTTGACACCATGGTTAAAAATCATTTGTTGATTACATTGTGATGAATATTTAGATGTTGATTACATTATGTAAAATATTTTATGCGTTTATAGTAAAATCAAATGACGCCTTCTTTGACACTTAACAATGACATTGTACTTTTGTATTGGACTTACACCAATGGAACCTACAATATCATTCGCTATAAAATTAGAAATAATTTAGACAATAGAAATATTTTCCTCAAAACTTTAACTTTAATACGCTCAGATCATACGTACAAGGTTTTATACACAATAAGCAGAACATTTGATTAACTTCACGTCAGCTTGCCTCTAATCGTATCAGATATGTTTGGATAAATGAGTAAAACTATAACTCATTAATTTTTGTTGCTCTCGTTTTCGTCCAAAATGCACATTTACTATCGAAATTCATTGTACATTGGGGAAATCGGAGCAACCCTTACGCATTTAATTGTTTTAGTTAACTCATCACTAAATGCACTGACTTTATGTCCTTCAAAGAATTTCAGTTGAAACTGGGGATAAACAGTGACGAAAAAGAATTTAGAGACGGAGAAAAACCTGATTTTGAAAGTCAATAAGAGTGGTGCATGCTCATTTTTATAAGACAAACCATTGAATGTGATTCACGTAGAACAGCTTTTTACTATCATGGATAAGTCGCAAAAATTTTCACAAGCTCTTTGACGCTTGACAAGTGATATTTTAATATTTATTGTTGATTTATTTTCCATTTTTCCCATTGACAGATCTTGCAATGGAAGTGTCTTCTTCAAGACTTTATCAAGGAACAAGTGAAGCCAAGAGAAAGCTTCGCAACCCTTATATTGAGGGCAAGTAAAACTCACGCCTTGTTACTCTTCAATCACATTTAATTGAATGCAAACCTCGGGTAAACTATTCAACATCAGCAAAATGACTAATGTTTAAGTGATATGACAAAACACAATATACCGATGCATAGGTGAAGGTAAAGCAGAGTATATTAATTGAGGGCAGAGGGAGGTGTCAGAGAGTGATGTGTGCAGAGGAAAATCAAGGAGGTGCACTGAAAGAGGACAAGTGGAACCTTTATGCTTTGATTTGTTGTTGCCTATTTTCTCTAGATGATATATGGCAAAGCAACAGAAAGAGAAACATGTAATGATTTACTGTTTAAATTTTACGCTTGTGTGCGAGGAAATCATATAATCTGCATTTTTATGAGAAATAGACATGGCTATATGACGAATGGTTTTTAAACATTCGGACTAAAAAAATGCATGATATTAAAAATAGGGTATTTGTATTTGTTGCTTTTTAGAGAAGCAATGTTTCCACACTAGAAAGACATTTCGTTTCATATTATATACATTTCACGCATAATTTTCAAATTTGAAAATGACGTGGAGCAATGAGCATACATCACAACAGAGGTCCGACAATAATCTCAATGTCTAATTCAGTCGCCAATTATTGTGTCTAAAATTTATGATACGATACATGTATAAGACTTCAAGCAATTTTTATGTAACTTATATTACCTGTTATAAAACACTTACAGAGCCTGCAAAATCCATGTGATAAATATCGTAATCTTTAAATTTATAGTTTAGCAACTAGTATCTTTTTGTTGATGCATGCGAAGTGATATTTTTGATTTCCTGAAATCTGATTGGCTGCAGAAGCAGGCAGCTTCTTATCTTAAATATTATGACTGTGATCTAAAAGTGATATTTTTCGCAATGATTTGCTTGCGAAATGAAATTTAAAGTTTTAAAAATGATTTAAAGCCATGCGCCTTTTTCAAGAAGAAAGGAAAATATATTTAGTCTCAACATGAAGCTAAGTAAGCCATTTCGGCCTCGGATGGCTTTTGGGACCTAGTAAAAATGTTTTTCCTTGCGAATTTCCCAGCCATTATAAAAGATATATTGATTACAATAGACAAATCTAAAACTCCTATACATGTTATTTTATTTTTTTGTAAGAAAAGAAGCTTGTTTGGCATTCACAACTTTTCAGCCAATTAGGCTGTTGCAACTATAGTGCAATCACATATTTTTACGGTGGAACTACTGCATTTTTACAGGGCTATTATAGCTTTTTTATGCTTAAAAGACAACTGACTTTCAAGTTTGATGATGTGTTTACAATATGGGTCGCTTAGCTTTTTCTATGTTTATAATTTTTGGTAAGGGATGATTTGAATTCTAATTTTGTGCCAAAGATACAGCTACATTTTCAAGTAGTTTTAAAGTTTTGGTACAATAAAAGTGAAATTTTTCACTAAATTCACTAATCTTTGATTAAGATCATTCACTACAAGCAACTTTTTTTTATCACTTACGGAACTGCTGTTATTTTTACTTATTTAAAAAAATATTTGTATCATAAAATCTCCAAAAGAGCACATCAATATTCGAAAATGCCCTAGTCAAAACAGTCAACGCCGTTTAAAAATATATGATAGAGCTGTGACAATGTAGATAATATTAGTTTACAGTTTGTAGCTACGACTTAAAATGCAAAAATATTACACGTGCTTCGCATTAGCGAAGTGGAAGATTTATATTGTTTTCAAATCATTTCTACGTTATGAAAGTCAATAAATAAAAGTTAACATGTCAAAGCAAAACATTCCTGTTAGTTTAATGGTTGAGTTGTCCTGCATAGACATTAAGTAGGTAAATACTTGCAGATAACATTGTATCTTACAGCAAGAGTGTGGGAGACATTTGATTCTCTAGAATTACTGAAGAATGAATTATTGCCTAAAGAAGACAGAAAGCATGTATGTATGTGAATGAAACAGACACAAGAGAAACTGTGAAGCTACAAGAATTAAAGTTAGATGGACTTAAAATAATACAGTATGGAATAGGAAAGAGGAAAGTGTTAGTATGTGAAAAGCCTAGAGTAAAACCAAAGAGTAGGAAATATATAGATGCACTGAAAGAGGAACCTCTTTGTTCATCATCATTAGTGACTTAGTAATTAATGGGGAAATTTCTCAATTCTATAGCATTTTTCTTATAAACAATGTCTGTTCATACGGTTTCCATTGGTTATTGTAAATTAACTGTAGCCCAAAAGTTTCCCGACAGTGGGTTATTGCACCTCCCATAATATCCTTCAGACGCCAAATTTTTGTTCTGATGGTGCGTAATAAAGTTGGTGTCACATGTTTGTTTTTTTTACTCCATTTTAGATGATGTTAGAATCGCCAATTACGATATCCCGTCAATAAGTCAAGATGATTTACAAGATGATTTGCTTATGGATACGGTGTGTATTGTTTTAACACTCAAGCTTACTTTGGATATTTTCTGTGAGGATCTGTCTGAATACTTAACTGTATCTGATATTTAAGTTTGCAAAAAGCTACTAAAATTTAGTACTGAGGGCTGACGACCATACTCCTAATGTTATTTATTATCATGCGTGTATTTTAACAGACTTATACGAGATTGGAAAAGACATTAAAAATGAAAGACTAATTAACTTTTTGAAATTATAATAGCAAGAAGAGCAATCAAAATTAAAATCCAATTTAGACATGCACGAACTTCATAAGCACTTAAATAACATAGATGGTAAAGCCACAGATAAAAATATGTACGAAAGCCGTAGTTTCTTTCTTTATTTATTTCTAGGTTAGTTAATGGCACGTCAGATATAAAAGATTAATTTTTATAAATGTAACCATTACACTTTGTCTGAATACTTGTATCAGATTTTTGAGTTTGCAAAAGCAACCGAAAATTATCAAGAGAAGCTTGATTTAACGGTAATCAAAACTCATCAAAAATGAAGGACAGTTCCAAACAGTGAAAGGCAAATGTATATAAATGTAACATCACAGCAAGTTTATGTTCTTAATTACTTGTACGTGTGATGATAATATTAATTTATTTTAAGAATAATAAAAATTTATTTTAATACATTTTTAGTTAGGTCGTAAAAGTCCACTTTTTCAAAGATCAAAGTCATCTGTATCAGGTAAGAAATCAAGAAATATCGATGCACTTCAATTATATAACTGCCATCGTCACTTATTTGTATCAATGTCAGCTTCATTACAAATAGTACATGGTTTACAGTTTTTATCCAAGTAAATCAGGGGTCTCCAAACTTTACAGCCAGAGGGCCACATTAACTTTCATCCAGCATGTTGAGGGCCGACGAACCGTATACCGCTGGTCAAACAGCGAATATTTTAATAAAACGAAGTACATTACACAAGCTTCATTTGTTAAGGTTAAATTTCAACGAAGAGTAGTATCATAAGAAAATCACAATTAGTCTGTTCAGTTTTCTCAATGTGAGAGGTGAAATTGACCTTCTTAAGTGTCTCTGTAGGCCGGATTGAGAGGCCCAACGGGCCGCATCTGGCACGCGGGCTGTAGTTTGGAGACCCCTGAAGTAAATTTATAGTATTATTGCTTAGCAACATTATCTGTGTTTGTGCGGCTTGCTGTAATATCAAAGACTGACTATGCAAAATGGTATTTATGTATGCAACAATTAAATTATATCTATTTACATGCTACAGCCTTTCGCTTTCCTACCTATATACTTTATAATTTTGGCTAGGACTTGGCGTTGTAGCTTTTTAGAACGTGATTTCGTCAAAGTCTCTTGTTCTTTGTTTGTTTGTTTTTCATTCTCGTGTATTTTTATATGCGCTGAATTTCTTCTTTATGATGCTTCCTTTTCTGATCAAACTGTAACTTCCTTGTTAAAAGAGAGAGATGTTGATCCGAGTGAAGTTGCTAATGCACACATACACGAAATATTAGCCTGCCAACTAATACAGGTGTTTCAAAACATAAGATAAATGACTTTTACAATACTATACTTGGGCATGTTCGAGCGCTTGAGATATTTGGGAACTCGAGAGATGTTGCAGGAAACGTGAGAATAACTAAAGCAAGTTGGAGGAGATTCGAGCTGACTTAACAAGAGCATCACCGGATTGGGAAAAGTGAAAAGTTCACCTTTACAGATCTAGTTGAAGCTTTGCGAGCCTCGATATAACGAATTCCACTATCACAAACTGATAAAATAGAAAAGAGAGAGAGTGTATTGAAAGAAAAGAAAGAAAACTACTATTAACCAAAGTCTAAACAAGACAATGCGTGTACTGTGACAACAAAGACCACAGATCCATAGATTCTGACAAAGTCTAGAATGTCAGTGAGCGTGAAAAGAACTTAATGTCAAAACAACGCACTTTTAATTGCACAGGGGAAAGCCATAGAACAAGTAATTCCAAGAGTCAGATTCACTGCTATATCTGTAAAAGGAAGCATCATACTTCTATATGTGGTCAGCAGGACAAGAATGAAAAATTGGTATCTTATCCTAATTTGAAGAATATTGTTTATTCACCTATGGTAGTAACAATCAAAGGAATAAATGTCGAGCTGTTTTAGACACTAGATCTAGTAGTTCCTTTGCATCAAGCAAGTTGGTTAATACAATCAAAGAAGAACCAATAAGGCAAGAATATAAATTCATCAAGATGATGTTTCAATCAGCAACTAAAAGGGTCAGTATTTATCATGTCAAAATAGCAGATGTAGAGGGAAAATTCAAAATGACATGTGAGGTGAATCAAATCGAGAAGAATGTATTGTGGACTTTACGAAACCCCAAGTATGAACAGCGGGTTGAGCATTATGAGCACTTAAGAGGTGTAGACATGCCCGATTATGATGTAAAGCTGCTTTTGCCTGTTCACCTCATTTTTGGGGTCGAGTGCAATCTCCAGAATCAAGACACCAGAGTTGGAGATGATGGGACGCCAGTTGGTGAGAGGACGATGTTAGGATGGACGATAGTGTCACCGGGACGAGAGACAAACCCATCTTACTTAATTACAAAAACCCCTCATGAGGATTACAAGCAAATTTATAGTTTGGATGTGTTAGGCTTGGACGACAATGCACAAGGGGATCAAGGAAGTGTGTATCATGAGTTTAAAGAACAGTTAACGATGCGAAAAAAATGGTCAGTATGAAAATTCACCTCCATGGAGAGATAATCACCCAGAATTGCCAGCGAACTATCAGGTTTCCAAGCGGAGGTCAAGTCCTTGACAAAGCGATTGGAGAAACATGTTTGATTTAAATAATATTAAATGTGCGTTATTATTTGAACTATGGTTGTGAAACTACTTCATTTTGTGGCCATTTACTTGACAGGCCGCACACATTTAAGCACTGCGTGCCTATTTTTTGTGTATCGACACCATAGTAAAAATCTTTTGTTGATTACATTATGATAAATATTTAGATGTTGATTACATTATGTAAAATGTTTTATGCCTTTATAGTAAAATCAAATGACGCCTTCTTTGACACTTAACAATGACATTGTACTTTTGTATTGGACTTTCGCCAATGGAACCTACTATATCTTTCGCTATAAAATAAGTAATAATTTAGACAATATAAATATTTTCCTCAAAACTTTAACTTTAATACCCTCAAATCATACGTACAAGGTTTTATACACAATAAGCAGAACTTTTGATTAATTGTATCCAATATGTTTGGATAAATGAGCAAAATTTTAATTCATTAATTTTTGTTGCTCTCGTTTTCGTCCAAAATGCACATTTACTATCGAAATTCATTGTACATTGGGAAATCGGAGCAACCCTTACGCATTTAATTGTTTTAGTTTAACTCATGCATAAATATACTGACTTTATGTCCTTCAAAGAATTGCAGTTGAAACTGGGGATAAATAGTGACGAAAAAGAATTTAGAGACGGTGAAAAACCTGATTTTGAAGGTCAATAAGAGTGGTGCATGCTCATTTTTATATAACAAATCATTGAATGTGATTCACGTAGAACAGCTTTTTACTATTATGCATAAGTCGCAAAAATTTTCACAAGGTCTTTGACGCTTGACAAGTGATATTTTAATATTTATTGTTGCTTTATTTACCATTTTTCGATTTGACAGATCCTGCAATGGAAGCGTTTTCTTCAACACCTTATGAAAGGACAAGTGAAGCCTGGAAAAACTTCATTTTTGACGGCAAGTAAAACTCATGCCTTGTTACTCTTAAATCACAATTAATTGAATGCAAACCTCGCGTAAACTATTCAACATAAGAAAAATGACTAGTGTTAAAGTGATATGGCAAAACACAACATACCGATGCATAGGTGAAGGTAAAGCAGAGTATGTTAATAGAGGGCACAGGAGGTGTCAGAGTGATGTGTACAGGGGAAAACCAAGGCGATGCACTGAAAAAGGACAAGCGAAACCTTTTTGCTTTGATGTGTTGTTGCCTATTTTCTCGAGATGATTTATGGCAAAGAAACAGGAAGAGAAACATGTAATCATTTACTGTTGAAATTTTACGCTTGTGTGCGAGGAAATCATATATTCTGCATTTTTATGAGAAATAGATATGGCTATATGACGAATGGCTTTTAAACATTCGGACTAAAAAATGCATGATTTTAAAAATAACGTATTTGTATTTGTTGCTTGTCATAGAAGCAATGTTTCCACACTAGAAAGACATTTCGTTTCATATTATATACATTTCACGCATAATTTTCAAATTTGAAAATGACGTGGAGCAATGAGCATACATCACAACAGAGGTCCGACAATAATCTCAATGTCTAATTCAGTCGCCAATTATTGTGTCTAAAATTTATGATACGATACATGTATAAGACTTCAAGCAATTTTTATGTAACTTATATTGCCAGCTATAAAACACTTACAAAGCCAGCAAAATCCATGTGATATATATCCTAATCTTTAAATTTATAGTTTAGCAACTAGTATCTTTTTGTTTATGCATGCGAAGTGATATTTTTGATTTCCTGAAATCTGATTGGCTGCAGAAGCAGGCAGCTTCTTATCTTAAATATTATGACTGTGATCTAAAAGTGATATTTTTCGCAATGATTTGCTTACGAAATGAAATTTAAATTTTTAAAAATGATTTAAAGCCATGCGCCTTTTTCAAGAAGAAAGGAAAATGTATTTAGTCTCAACATGAAGCTAAGTAAGCCATTTCGGCCTCGGATGGCTTTTGAGACCTAGTAAAAATGTTTTTCCTTGCGAATCTCCCAGCCAATATAAACGATATATTGATTACAATAGACAAATTTAAAAATCCTATATATATGTTATTTTATTTTTTTGTATGAAAAGAAGCTTGCTTGGCTTTCACAACTTTTCAGCCAATTAGGCTGTAGCAACTATAGTGCAATCACACATTTTTACAGTGGAACTACTGCATTTTTACAGAGCAATTATAGCTTTTTTATGCTTAAAAGACAACTGACTTTCAAGTTTGATGATGTGTTTACAATATGGGTCGCTTACATTTTTCTATGTTTATAATTTTTGGTAAGGGATGATTTGGGTTCAAATTTTGTGCCAAAATACAGCTACATTTCCAAGTAGTATTAAAGTTTTGGCACAATAAAAGTGAAATTTTTCACTAAAATCACTATACTTTGATTAAGATCATTCACTACAAGCAATTTTTTTTATTACTTACGGTACTACTGTTATTTTTACCTATTTAAAAAGATATTTGTAACATAAAATCTCCAAAAGAGCACATCAATGTTCGAAAATTTCCTAGTCAAAACAGTCAACGCCGTTTAAAAATATATGATAGAGCTGTGACAATGTAGATAATATTAGTTTACAGTTTGTAGCTACGACTTAACATGCAAAAATATTGCACGTGCTTCGCATTAGCGAAGTGGAAGATTTATATTGTTTTCAAATCATTTCTACGTTATGAAAGTCAATAAATAAAAGTTAACATGTCAAAGCAAAACATTCCTGTTAGTTTAATGGTTGAGTTGTCCTGCATTGACATTAAGTAGGTAAATACTTGCATATAGCATTGTAACTTACAGCAAGAGTGTGGGAGACATTTAATTCTCTAGAATTACTGAAGAATGAATTTTTGCCGAGAGAAGACAGAATGCATGTATGTATGTGAATGAAACAGACACAAGAGAAACTGTGAAGCTACAAGAATTAAAGTTAGATGGACTTAAGATAATACAGTATGGAAGAGGAAAGTGTCAGTATGTGAAAAGCCTAGAGTAAAACCAAAGAGTAGGAAATATATAGATGCACTGAAAGAGGAACCTCTTTGTTCATCATCATGAGTGACTTAGTAATTAATGGGAAAGTTCTCAATTCTATAGCATTTTTCCTATCAACAATGTCTGTTCATACGGTTTCCATTGGTTATTGTAAATTAACTGTAGCCAAAAAGTTTCCCGACAGTGGGTTATTGCACCTCCCATAATATCCTTCAGACGCCAAATTTTTGTTCTGTTGGTGCGTAATAAAGTTGGTGTCACATGTTTCTTTTTTTTACTCCATTTTAGATGATCTTAGAATCGACAATTACGATATCTTCTCAATAGGTCAAGATGATGTGTATTGTTTGGATACGGTGTGTATTGTTTTAACACTCAAGCTTACTTTGGATATTTTCTGTGAGAATCTGTCTGAATACTTAACTGTATCTGATATTTAAGTTTGCAAAAAGCTACTAAAATTTAGTACTGAGGGCTGACGACCATACTCCTAATGTTATTTATTATCATGCGTGTATTTTAACAGACTTATACGAGATTGGAAAAGACACTTAAAATGAAAGACTAATTAATTTTTTGAAATTATAATAGCAAGAAGAGCAATCAAAATTAAAATCCAATTTGGACATGCACGAACTTCATAAGCACTTAAATAGCATAGATGGTAAATCCACAGATAAAAATATGTACGAAAACCGTAGTTTCTTTATTTATTTATTTCTAGGCAAGTTAGTGGCACGTCAGACATAAAAGATTAATTTTTATAAATATAACCATTACACTTTGTCTGAATACTTGTATCAGATTTTTGAATTTGTAAAAGCAACCGAAAATTTTCAAGAGAAGCTTCATTTAACGGTAATCAAAACTCATCAAAAATGAAGGACAGTTCCTAACAGTGAAAGGCTAATATATATAAATGTAACATCACAGCAAGTTTATGTTATTAATTACTTGTACATGTGATGATAATATTAATTTATTTTATCAATAATAAAAATTTATTTCAATACATTTTTAGTTAGGTCGTAAAAGTCCACCTTTTCAAAGATCAAAGTCATCTGTATCAGGTAAGAAATCAAGAAATATCGATGCACGTCAATTATATAGCTGCCATCGTCACTTATTTGTATCAATGTCAGCTTCATTACAAATAGTACATGGTTTACAGTTTTTATCCAAGTAAATCAGGGGTCTCCAAACTTTACAGCCAGAGGGCCACATTAACTTTCATCCAGCATGTTGAGGGCCGACGAACCGTATACCGCTGGTCAAAAAGCAAATATTTTAATAAAACGAAGTACATTACACAAGCTTCATTTGTTAAGAAAATATTTATTCAAAATTTAAAGGTTAAATTTTAACCAAGAGTAGTATCATAAGAAAATCACAATTAGTCTGTTCAGTTTTCTCAATGTGAGAGATGAAATTGACTTTCTTAAGTGTCTATGCAGGCCGGATTAAGAGGCCCAACGGGCCGCATCTGGCACGCGGGCTGTAGTTTGGAGACCCCTGAAATAAATTTATAGTATTATTGCTTAGCAACAATATCTGTGTTTGTGCGGCTTGCTGTAATATCAAAGACTCACGATGCAAAATGGCATTTGTATATGCAACAATTAAATTATATCTATTTACATACTACATCCTCGCTTTCCTACCTATATAGTTCATAATTTTGGCTAGGACTTGGCGTTGTACCTTTTTAGAACGTGATTTCATCAAAGTCTCTTGTTCTTTGTTTGTTTGTTTGTCATTCTCGTATATTTTTATATGTGCTGAATTTCTTCTTTATGATGCTTCCTTTTCTGATCAAACTGTAACTTCGTTGTTAAAAGTGAGATATGTTGATCCGAGTGAAGTTGCTAATGCACATATACACGAAATATTAGCCTGCCAACTAATACCGGTGTTTCAAAACATAAGATAAATAACTTTTACAATACTATACTTGGGCATGTTCGAGCGCTTGAGATATTTGGGAACTCGAGAGATGTTGCAGGAAACGTGAGAATAACTATAGCAAGTTGGAGGAGATTCGAGCTGACTTAACAAGAGCATCACCGGATTGGGAAAAGTGAAAAGTTCACCTTTACTGATTTAGTTAAAGCTTTGCGAGCCTCGATATAACGAATTCCACTATCACAAACTGATAAAGAAGAAAAGAGAGACAGTGTATTGAAAGAGAAGAAAGGAAAGTAGTATTAACTAAAGTCCAAACAAGACAATGTGTGTACTGTGACAACAAAGACCACAGATCCGTAGATTCTGACAAAGTCTAGAATGTCAGTGAGCGTGAAAAGAACTTAATTTCAAACGACGCTCTTTTAAGTGCACAGAGGAAAACCATAGAACAAGTAATTGCAAGAGTCAGATTCACTGCTATATCTGTAAAAGGAAGCACCATACTTCTATATGTGATCAGCAGGACAAGAATCAAAAATTGGTATGTTATCTTAATTTGAAGAATGTTGTTTATGCACCTGTGGTAGTAACAATCAAAGGAATAAATGTCGAGCTCTTTAAGACACTAGATCTAGTAGTTCCTTTACATCAAGCAAGTTGGTAAATACGATCAAAGAAGAACCAATAAGGCAAGAATATAAATTCATCAAGATGATGTTTCAAACAGCTACTAAAAGGATCAGTATTTATCAAGTCAAAATAGCAGATGTAGAAGGAAAATTCAAAAGGACATGTGAGGTGAATCAAATCGAAAAGAATGTATTGTGGACTTTACGAACTCCAAAGTATAAACAGCGGATTGAGCATTATGAGCACTTATGAGGTGTAGACATGCAAGATTATGATGAAAAGCTGCTTTTGCCTGTTCACCTCATTTTTGGGGGCGAGTGCAATCTCCAGAATCAAGACGCCAAGGTTGGAGATGATGGGACGCCAGTTGGTGAGAGGACGATGTTAGGATGGACGATAGTGTAACCGGGACGAGAGACAAACCCTTCCTACTTAATTACAAAAGCCCTCATGAAGATTACAAGCAACTTTATAGTTTGGATGTGTTAGGTTTAGACGACAGTGCAGAAGGGGATCAAGGAAGTTTGTATCATGAGTTTAAAGAACAGCTGACAATGCAAAAAAAATGGTCAGTATGAAAAATCACCTCCGCGGAGGGCTAATCACCCAGAATTGCTAACGAACTATCACGTTGCCAAGCGGAAGTTAAGTCCTTGACAAACCGATTGGAGAAACAGCCTGAAATGATGGAAACTTATCACAATATCGTAGTAAATAAACTTGATAAAAGAGTGGTTAGAAACGCGCGTAAGAAACTACAAGGAAGTTGTGAACATTATCTTATGCAAAAACTTGTCTTACATGAGAAAACCGAGTCTACAAAAGTAAGCATCGCTTATGATTCTTCAGAAAAATTCGACGAAAGGTCACGTTCATTGAATGATTGCCTTGACATTGGAGCACCACTGCAGAGAAGAATCTTAGATGTACTCTTGCGTTGTCGAATGTGGCCGATTCTTTTAGTAGGCGATATCAAGCAAGCATTCTTACAAATAGCTATCAGAGAGATTGATCGAGACGTAATGAGAATCTTATGGATAAATAATCTGCAACAAAAAGTGATGGTCGTAAATCGTATGACTCGTGCGATGTTCGGACTTGGTCCGAGCCCATTTTTACTTGGAGGAACTTTAAATATTCACATAGAAAAATTTGTACAACAATATCTAAAGTGTGTCGAAGAATTATATGGCGGGACTTACGTAGATGATATAAATATTGGTGGTCATTCAGTGGAAGAGACTATAGAGAGCTAAAACAGCAATCAAAAGAGATTCTCAGCAAAGGAAAATTTGTTCTGCACAAATGGCATTCCAGTGCAGTTTAACTTAAACGCGATAAAGTGGAGGACGGGGAGTCTACCTATGCTACAGATACTTTAGGAACTAAATGTTCAGAAACTGAATTTCTCTGACTGGTATGGAACAAGCATGAATATACTTTGTCTATATCACTACCAAAACAAAAACTTCAAATGACCAATCGAACGGTTCTTCAAAGGATGGCAAAACTGTACGACCCGTTAGGTGTTGCAGCTCTATACCTACTCATAGCGAAAGTGACTTTTCGAGATATCTGTGATCGGAAAATCACATGGGATGCAAGTTTCCGGAAGGTATCAGGAAGTGTTAGAAAAAATGGTCGAGGAGTTTGCCAAGTGAGTTAAGTTTTCCAGGAAGCATTCCTCGGAAAAGAGTAGGGACTACAGCAATTTACATTCATTGGTTTTCCGATGCGAGTATCTTGGGATGTTGTGCAGCGGTGTATGTAGTGACAAAACAATGTGAAGTGGTTTTGCAAGGGCGGTTGGTATCAAGGGCAACATTAGCAAAACGCTAATTAACTATTCCAAGATTGGAAATTGTAAGATGTCATATGGTTTCCAACTTGGTGGACAAAACGCAGAAAGTCCTCAGTTTTCTCCCTGTCGAAGCATTTTACGCGTGAGCTGATTCAACCGTCTGTCTTCAATGGATCAACGGTAGAGGCAACTACAAGCAGTTTGTTTGAAATCGTGTGAAAAAAATGATGAGAAACAAATTGAGTGGAAGTAAGTATCAACCTACGAAAATCAAAAGTAATGAAGATAACCATTCCAAAAGAGATCGATTTCATTGATCATTTGCTTGAAAAGTATGTCCTGTCCAAAACTGTACGAGTTCTAGCATGGTGTAAGAGATTCATTGACAACTTAGTAAGTAATAAGAAAACAAGTGGCGCATTATTGACAGAAGATAATAAAGTTACTGATCAAACAAGCTCAAGCTGAAAACGAGGTGATGGAGAATTTCAATAACAATTCTGTCAAATCTAATCTTAAAAAAGATCAAGACGTAATATACATGTGTAAGGGAAGAAGCCAAGTGCAATACCGGGTGTATCTTCCAGCAAAGCATTTATTAACTAAGAGGGTTGTCGGCGATCTCATATACTAACCTTGCACAGGGTAGTCGGACTTATCATGATGAAATATGAGATAAACCTTATGATTTATTAATTACGTTTACGTGAACAAGAAAAGACTGAAAACCTTATCGAAAAATATATTTTCAATAACATACATTTAAAATAGGGGGAGTGTGTCGTGAATGTTAGCACATTCCAGTAAAAACTATAAGATCAGGGAACGTATTATGTTAAGTTTGATTGAGAGATGATTTTAAAATTAGGGTAGGTTGTTGTTGTCAAGAAGTGTGATGTGAATGATGTGATTTTAGAGAGATCAACAATAAAACCTAATCAGTTAACTCCAATTCCGGCTTCCTCAAACCATCTGTGGGAATCGAACAACATTCACCTGAAAACATTTTTTTGCATTCGGTGAATTTGACCTATTTCTGTGGAACGAGCGAAACTAGAACGTTAAGGGGATAAATGTTTATATATTCAGCTCTGCCCTGCTCATTTCTTTCGAAATTATAGTCGCTAACAAAACAAATCAGTCAAGCAGTTATGAATATATGAATATACACCCCACCTCCACCCCCACCATCACTTAACGCTCTGTGTTCTGTGTAGCACCTATTTAGGGATCCGATATCGGATGTTTAGTTTTCACGTTTATAATTGATTATTTTATATATTTTATGGTATTTAATGTGAAACCTGGGCTAGCCCTGTGATGAGTGTGGCAAACACCGGTGATGAGCTGGACGGGATCCAGTGTCGGATTTCTAAACCAGGCGTTAATTATATTTGTTTCACAAATGTAGTAATAGATTTCCATAATGCAGTACTTTTATGTCATTTTAAGAACTGCAGTTACAAGAGTGGAAATTTATTGGTGGATCAACAAAGCATAGAAAAATGTTTTTAAAATTGTGTGAATATGGGGCCAGTGCCTTTAGAAAGGTTAAACATTTGGGCGATGTACGTGTAATTTTCTCAGACGAGTTTTGCATCGGCAGAGGAAACGATGGAACACGTGTATTTCTTGGACTGAGAAAGGATGGTTACGGCAAAGCTGTGAAACGAATACGCCGAGATAACTTCATCGATCTAACACGCCAAGAAAATGAAATTTTGAATGAACTCAACGTAAAAGAATCGAAATATGTTGTGAACTATTCATACTTAGAGGAAGACAATGACACGCAATATGTCTATTTAATATTAGACTTATGCGAGGAATCGTTGGAGAGTTTTGTGAAGTCTTCTACTTTGTCTGATCTTCAAAAAGCTCTTCCCGAAATTCTCAGATCAATTTTGCAAGGATTAGCTTATCTTCATAGTGGCCCGCAACCTATTCTTCATTGCAATCTAAAGCCTTCCAATGTTCTCCGAGACTCACAAGGCAAATTTCTCATAGCTGATTTTGGCATAAAAGCCAATTCTAATGTGGGAACTGAGTTTTGGATTGCTCCTGAATCATATTGTAAAGAAGAAGATTCGTTTGATAAAGCTTGTTACAAAACAAAGTCGGATGTAATGGTGAGTGTGGGAATTTACTGCATTGTCAATTTGATTTTTCTTAAGTTATTTTCGGAGTTTCGAGAAAATGAGAAAAGAACTGATATAATTTGAATAACAGCCAAACTTTTAGTCCGTGATCTGTGCCTCAAAAATATGCTTTAAAAATGAGTTTCGTTGGACACCTCAAGGAAGGTCGCAAAATTTTCAAAATAGATAGAAAGTCACTTGCTGTTTGATATTCTTTTTATTGTCACTTCTAAAAAGCTGCAGTTTTTTAGTATTTCGCGGTTGAATTTCAAAATTCCTCGCTCCTTCAATTTTGAATGTCGCCATTTTTTTGGTGCGGAACTCTGTGATCTAACTGCCGTTGTCATGGTGAGGCAAATATATTAACGGGCGCCATCTTGAAAGGTGGCAAAAAGGCGAGACTCTTAATAAAGTCCAAGTAAAATGTAAGTTTTAAATGAAGAATTCTATCGAAAATTTTGGAAGCAAACCTAAACTGTCACCTTTGCACTTATGTACCAACATAGGAGAAGCCTGTTTTAGACCTAAATCTTGTCAGTTTTAAGAACTCATGGTTAAATCGTGCGCAACTTCACTTTTCGAAGGATAGCAACGCATCTTTCCATAAATTTTTCCTTAAACACTAAAGCTTGGTAAGAAATTGATCATTACCACTAAAGAATTTTTTGTTAATAAGCTTTTAAAGAGGCACATCATTATGCAAAGGCCTAAGATAAATGTAAAAATTGTAGAACAAACATTTAGCAGCTTACAGCTATGTTACAGACTCTATAAAGTACATGCTTTTCTGATTAACCTGCTTTAAGTGATGCAAGAGCAAAAATAAAGTTTTAAAAGTATTGCTATCAGGCTATTAGACTCACTAAACACAAGAATTACTTTGATTCAATGTTTTGACCACTCTTTCTACAAGGTCACTCCACATAGGATAAGTGAAGTCCATTCTTTACTTTGGAAGAGTAGAACTCTAAAATTTCTCTTTTTTAAATATAGAAGGACAACATTTTTTTTTGGTTTTGTAGAACCTACACTAAGCATTAAAGTGCTTGCTCACTTACTTCTAACAGAGGATCTTGTCTCCATTACATACCAATGTCCCAAAACCATCTTTAGTTGCTGTTTCCATGCATTGATTATATAAAGAATGACTTCAAAAATAATTCAGATATTCTTTATTTTAAATCAACATTATAAACTTTTATCAAAGGACAACAGAGTAAATTAGTAAATTAGTATGTATAGATCAGAATCATAACTACATTTCTTGTTGAGAAATATATATACAGGATCACTTTTTCAATCAATGTGCCAGAACTCTTTCACTCTCCTTTTCATGGTATGACAAAGACAACTTTTATCTATGAAAGTCCTTGCTAATCAAATTTACAATAAAACAAGTTTCAACCCAAGCAAAAAACCCCAGCTTTCTGGCTTCTGAAATGGCTCACTGAAAAATATTCTTTCTTGAACTGTAAAACATGATCTTGAGCATAAAGCCTTAACTGAAGATTAACAATCATCACAACCTATGAAAGAGATTGTTGAAAATACAAAAGTTTACCACTTCTGACATATTGTAAACAAATAGTAGCTAAGTTTGTTCTAAGAATCATATAATGTTGAGTTCTAGCTTGGTGTTTTGAGATTTTATGCTTCTTAACTGAGATTTTTAACTTCTTTTTAAAAAATACCTCTCAGTTGTATACAGAATGCAATAAGAATGACTTTAGCAATATTTACACTAACTCTTGATTAGCAATGGAAGTTTATGGAACTTACATTTTTGTACCAAGCCGCACTTTGGCCTTTCTGTTTACAACCACAAATGGATATTACTCCTCCGGATGAAAATGGGTGGCAAACGAGTGACGGGAAACTGCAAGTCTGAAATCGTATGGATGACCATTCCCCTAGCGCCGAATTCCCTACTTGATAGCGTTCATTGTGGTTGTAAGACTGGCTGCAACGTGGCTGTAACTCCCAAAGTTGTTCATGTAACAAAGCCGGAGTGAAGTACACAAATGTATGGTCGTGTACTGCATGCACGAATGTAGATATTGATGACGACAATGATGTTGAGGAAGAGGAGTTTTTAGATGATGACATTGACGACCAATTCGAGACAGACCTTTAAAAAGCGCTTGTCTTGCACAATACGATTATAACTTTCAAAATATTATCTTCGCAACAATTGCTAAAATCCAACCTAATGCACGAGTGAAATATGTATTTCTTTCAGACATTTTATTTATGTTGCCAGTATTATCGTGCGGAATAGCTCTCTATTAGGTCTGGCACTAGCACACAAAATATAAATAACATGAAGTTTCCTGGGGAAAATGGCGGATTCCGAAATTGTAATGAGCTACAAATTTTAAAATTTTAATGTAATATAGCAAAAAAACTGCAGCTTTTTGGAGATGACAAGAAGTAAAACTGCGTTAAGCATGTAAAAGTCGTTCTGTCTTGAATTTTTCACGACCTTCCTTGAGGTGTCCAACGGGAATGAAAGAAAATCGGTCACAGATCACGGACTATTTCTATTTAACATCATATATTGAACACTTATTTAGGCGTTTTCGATTGGTAAATTAACTTCGGAAATAAGTAGCTACAGATCACACCAATGAGCAAAAAGTAACTTTCGGCAAAAGTACCAAAATTGAAAAAAGTCTAGGAAAAAAGTAAGTTAGTAACCTGACGATAAGAAATTAATTGCATGAATTTAATCTCGGACAATAGATTGTCGCTCTTACATTTTTAATTGGAAAACTGAAAATGTCCTTAGTAAGCTGTGCAACGGCCTGTTATTAAATTTACTGAAGTTGTCGTCTCTTGAAAACTATAATTTAAGATGCAGAAATTTATTTTTGTTTAATTGAACTCCGATTATGTTAATAAATTGTAGGCCGAATTTCTAAATTTTATAAATAATTTTATGGCATGAACTTAAAATTTTGATTTATTATATCGCTTGTGTTTTATAAGTCTAGCACCATCTAAGAGGACTACAAATTAATTTAGTTACTTATTTGCTATTGTGTGTTTATCCTCCTTAAATAGGTTTGACCTTATGCTAACTATTTTAGAATGCGGGAATGGTGGCTTATTATGTTGCAACAAAAGGGAAACATCCTTTTGGAACTAAACCCCACAGACTGATCAACATGTTGAATGGGAAACCTGTTGGCTTGGACGAAATCAAGGATGAAACATTAAAAGACCTTCTGTCGTGGATGTTAAAACTACAACCAGAAGAAAGACCATCTGCCAACGAAGCCTTGAAACATCCATTTCTTATGTTGGATGACGAGAAATTTCACTTTTTATGTAAAGTTGGTGACTTACAGTCGATTAAAACAAATGATCCCCAATCAAGTATCGTCCAACAATTGAATATTGAATCTTCAAATTGGAAAAATCAAATGGATAGCGATGTTTATGAATATTTGGTAAATGGAAGAAAGTATGGATCTTCATGGACAGAATGCTTAAGGCTCATTCGTAATATTGGCCAACATTTGCACGATCGACCACAGCAAAGACCACAACCAAAACCTATTTGTAAGATTGGAGATCACAAGGCATATTTTCTTAAAGCATACCCCAGTCTCCCTGTTCGGATTCATGCAGCTGTCAGGTCAAATGATGAATTGAATCCAGAACTTAAGGGTAAGCATACTAGCTTGAATTTTCTCATTTTTTATTACACTTCAATTCTGTGATCGTTGTACAATAGCAATTTGATTACATAATATTTTCACATGATATTGACATCATTTCTTTGCTCATCAGTCTTTATTTACTTAAATTCGAATAGAAAAAATATTCCTTACTACCATAAATGTATATTGTAAAATTTTTTAATAAAAAGTGAAAATAAGATGTCTAAAGCGTAGTCTTTCTCTCAATAGAGAATGAGTGTTGAGATTTAATTGTAAATTTCAAACGGAACAATCTATTTTTCTTAATAAAAATTTCTTGCCATAGAAAATATGAAGAGTAATTTCAACTGGAACGATAATTTCTATAAACGCTCTATAATTAGATTAAGGCACTGAAAAGGCCTGGGGAGACCTGCACTTATATTATTCGCACGTCTTTTGACTTTTTCAATTTGCAAATATATTCGTACTCCCTTGATTTAACCCTTTTTGTTGCAGTGAAGCAGATCTGTAACATTCACCAAACAAAATGGCCGGCAATTTTTCGAAAAGTTCACTACCTTAAGTGTTAATATGAGGAATTAAATAAACAACAAAAAGCAGCAGTATTTTATGTTTTTTGTTGATACATCTATCGCCATTTTTGAACAAAAAAGAACTGAAGCGACCTGCATAGCTACCATATACTGTCCTCAAAGATGGCGGTCAGTTATCGTTGCAGTTGATATTATAATTCACTACGCATGAACAAAAAATATTTTTATTATTACGTATGCATACAAAGAAAACAAAAGGTTCTTTTGATGATTTATTGGATAAATTTTGAACGTGTCTTTATAACCTTATAGACCTTAATAACATTATAATACGTTGACATAAATTTACGTATAATGTTCACATTGTGAAATTTGTTAAAAATATTGTTATATGTGTCGACTTGTCATGCAAACTCGAACTTTGTACTTTTTCCATAGCTATTTTATCTGGAGAAGAGAAGAAGAAACGATGTTTTCAAGGTAAATATATGGTAATACGAAATTTTGAATTTAAGGGTCACAATTTATGCATGATATGCGTTTTTAAGTTCTTTGAAATCTATTGTTTATCGACGGATTACAACATGCCCATGCAATTATCTCCCAAATATGAGCCCCCTCCAAATTATAAATAGTACGAAAGCCCTGGATATATAGGCTATGGTGATTGTACCAGTCGAAAAAAAGGACTTCTTTCAATGCTATTGCATGATGTAGACATATTGTTTACATTTCTTATTTTTCTTCAAGTACATGAGATTTTATCAGTAGTCACATTTGCATCATAAAATTACATAATAAAGTGTCAAGGGTGGAAAAATCTTTTCTGCATTGGGAAAAATTTGAGTTACTTTTATATGATTTATTGTTTTTGCTTCCCTCACTTCTGACTATATGTAAAGTATTTAGTGTCATGTATGAAACAAGAAACATACTCCGGAGAAAAGGTCCATTTTGACCTCAATATTTGAGAAAACAAACGAGACAGTTATTTCATTCTGTAATGTTTTGAGTTCATTACAAATTCATCATCAAACGATAAATATTTACAAGCTAACTGTGGCTCCCTGTATATCTGTTTATTTCCATCATTTCAAAGGAAGTGTGAGTGCGGAAGTGTGAATTTTTTGGGAAAATCAAGTTGATTGTATTACTGGCTTTCAGGCCATTGTTAAGTTCTGGTTTGTAGGATTTAATATAGAGTACATCCATTAGTAGAAGTCGGTTTTGGTTTACGTTTTTGTTCTAGCAAATAAAGTATTTTGTAGTTGCCAAATATGAGATCAAGTGTGCTGAAAATGTTGAGACTTAAACGTTTTTCATGCACAATAAAAAAAATAAAGACTGAAATTACCATTTATTTGCGCAAAACATGATTTACATCATAAGGATAAGACGAGAAATCAGACGAGATTATGGTCCGAGAAATCAGTGAAACTCCACATTGGACAAATGGGATCTTCAGTTTTCAAATTGATCATCTTCTTTTTTTCTAATTGTTGGGTAATTTTCTACAACCAAGATGTTACGGTTTGATCATCATTGATGACGAGACTTCGTCTTTCGTGAGAAAGAGCTCATTTCTACCAATAAAAACATTGGCAAAATTGTATGGTCTGTGTTATCGTAAATTATTTATATAGGGTAAGAGCTTCCCAGTAGCTGTACCACTCCCTGCATCCTCATCCGGTGCCATGTGTATTGACTTTACGTTCACGTTTTTCTTCTGATGATGTTTAATAATTCGGTGTTACTTTAAATGGTTTTTTTTACTACATTTAGCTGATCTTAGATACACTAAACTAACAACAGAGGAAATCGAGAAAATTGGTAAGAAAGTTGGAACTGATTGGAATATACTGGGTGGTCTTCTAGAAATACCTTTTGACATACGTGATGAAATTACTGTTTACGACACAATTTATCCAAACCCCTCCGCAAAAGCTGAAGCGATTTTAGTCATTTTTAATGAAAGAAAGAAATTTGATCGATATGTATTGAAGAAATGCCTGGAAGAAATAAAGCTTGATTTGGATCAAATTTTGTCTCCCGACAATCAGGTATATTTAATTAATAATATTTACTTACTCACAACTTGTTTTTAGACCAGTTACCGTTGTTTTCTGGAAAATCTGTCTTAAGTCTACTGTACTTCTAACAGTAAACTTTTAGAAAGATTTTCCAGAAAACAACGGTAGTTTAGTGAGTATGAACTCGAGAACCGTCAAACCTGCATGACTATATGCTGAACAAATTTATAAAAGCTTTCCATTGAATTTTTCTTTATTTGTGATGGTCAACTATAAAATAATAAACTACTTAAACTAAAAATGTTACCAAATTCGCAATTTCAAAAATTACACTCAAATTCAGATGTGGTAATATAATATAAGTTGAAAGTTTAGTAGTCTGCATTTTTAAATATCTATTATGATATCTATTATGTGGCTATCAGCGTTTGTACTCTATGATTGGATGCAATAGGATCATATGATTTTCATTTGGAGCAGATATGACAATCACAATGCATACTTGTACAATGTTTTTGAGTTTGATTGTGAATTTCATTGAAATCTTCCGCCAACATAACGGAAAGCAACTGCATGAAATGTGTTGAGTAGCGAGGAGCATATACTTCCATCAAATTATATTACCTCGTGAAAATAGAAACAAGCTCAATCTGGATAAAAAAGGACATCAAAAAAAGGATAAAGCTCTAACACAGCAGTCAAAGCAATCAACGTTCTTCAAACAGTTAAAAAATACGCTCCTAAAATCCGATTGAGACGCGTACGAAGTTGATAAATACTTATAAACAGCATTGGAAAAGACCCAGATAATGTGTACACGGAAAACGTAGTTTTTTTATTTTAAGGCAAGTTAAACTGGGTGACATTAAAAATGTCGACACATCACTGGAAGATCACGTCATGTTAATATAATAGTAATAAAGTTATTTAGTAATAGTTAGATAGTAATAAAGTTAGTATTAATTATAAATTTATTTCATTTATCTTGTGAATTGTGAATGTAGCTACATTTCAATGATCGATGTTTTAGTCTGATGGTGAAAGTCAAGCTTTTGAAAGAATAAAGTCATTTTCATCTTTGAATAAAGGTATGAAATTAACAAATATTATTGCTTATAACGTTATGTCCTTTCTTAACCTCACGTATTGTAAAAGTCAGTGTTTGACATGCATAAAACATGATAGAAAGCACACTGTTTTATTCATAAAAAAAGCGAAATTACTAATAATTAAAAATGTGGTTTTCATTTCTATAGTGGTAAAATATCAAAAAATTTTTAAAATCTAGAAACAGTTAAGGTACATAAGAGTTTGAGTGGCACGATTAGCGCATTAATTTACAGCGGCCATATTCATGCAGGCATGCTTTGTTGTGTTTGTATCCTATGAAATAACTTGTTTTCTGCGAATTATGGGATTCATACATGAATATTTGCTGACACTCCCACCCGCATTCATCGCAGCTAAGAAGCAACAATTTTATTGTATTGAGATATGTGTGTTTATGTGTGACCCGGACATGCCGTAAATTTTAACTTCATTAAACTAAAAAAGCAAGTGAGTCAAAAGCGCATTCATTAAATTTAAGCCTACTGCCTAAAGGTGAGCATATTCTGGAAACAGTGAAATGGAATCGAAGGAGTTGAAGAATGTAAGTGTGATAAATTTTTTAGATACAAAGGCAACGTCCTGTAAAGTGGAAAAACTGGTCACTTCTGTTGGTGGCAATTTAATGATGGAGGACGTTATCTTTGATATTGGTCCTGGCTGTTTAGAAGACACTACAATGATAAAGTTGGTCAAGGTTAACAATCCAAGCTACATCAAAAGTTTGCTGGACTTGGAACTTCTTAAAAGTAGCATATATCATCTGCAATGTCTTCCTAACAACCTACATTTCTCGAAGCCTGCTCCATTGCAAATTAACATTAATGGAGATAGAGCTATTTCGAGAGAAGATAATGGTTCTTTGAAGATTGTTGCTATTTATGGATCGTACTCGAATGACAAGCAAAAGACCACGTGGAAATTTTTGGAAGACATTGATGTAAACGAAAAGAGGATTTTGATAAATATAAACACATTTTCTTCATACATCTTCGTTACAGCTATATCTTCTTACATTCCTCGTATTTTATGTCATCTTAACGAATTTTTTTACGCTTATGCATATGTATTCCATCGAAGATCATCAAAACAGGAACATTAGATATTAAAGTTGTCTTTGTCAGCTCTTTCGTGCGTGAGAAGTTTGTGGGATTTCCAATGTTGAAATTGGCCAATGATTGTGAAGACTTCCATGAAAATAATGATAATAATGAAGACATGAAGGACATCAACACTGATCGATATTATGAAATACAGCTAAAATTTACTGGAAAGGAGCATTATTCATACACGTTTAAAATAGACATTTCAAAGCTTGACAACGATGGTTTTGTTGTTGATCACTTTAGTACAATTCAAGTGAATTTTCCTGCTAAAGGATATTTGGAGGTGACTGAACTTGACTCACAAAGAGAAAACAAAGTTTTGAAGTGGAAACTGAATGTGGAAGAAAAGAACTCATCTGAATCCATGAGCATTAACGGTATGAAAACTTGTCTTGTATAATTTTTGTCTTCTCCTTGCACTTAATAAACCCCTGCATGCACATATAGTTTTCATATGGCCGTGTACAACATGTAATCTGCCATTTCTGAATTTATCATTTTTGTTTGCAATCAAATTTACAAATAGCTTTATTATAAAGTCAAATTACGTTGCCATTAAGAGACGCCTATAGTGGCGAGAGTGTCTCGTCCATATGCAGTTTCTAAGAGATTTGATTTGTCTCCAATCTCTGTGGGTTTGGTAGCACAACAAGTCGAGGGAATTCAAAAATTGGAACGATAACTCCACTACAAAAGCCATATAATTGATTGAAGCCGATTTCGCAGCTATAGTGCGTAATTTTGTTAATATAAAACACGCTTGTGTTATGTTCATGGAAAAGTTTTCACAAGTCATATGTTGAGTGAATTTTTGTCCTGAACAATGAGAAAAACAATGTTTTGCAACATTTTTTTCTTCGTCTTTGCCTTTTGCTTTCATAAAGATGGCGGCGAAGTTATCCTTCCAAAAATAGAGCTCCCGATGGTGCAAGTTTAAATCTTGTGTGATCACATGTTTTTTTATGTGTGTATAACCGCGTCAGAATTTATGTACTGATTTTCTGAAGACGGGTTTGGAATCTACATGGATAGAAGAATTCAAATTTTAAATAAAAATTAAAAAACTTGACTTGTATTTGTTCAATATCGAACACTGCTGGATGCTTTTTCATTAGGAATACAACCTAAATTTTTTAATTACAATTACACGCTCAAGTGTTAATCATTTTAGATAAGGATGATGATGACAAAAAAAACAGTAAAAGAAAGGGAAATGAAACGTCAGATTTCTCAGAACAAGAAGCGTCTGCCATTGATGTTTCACATATGGATGTGGATGTGGATAAAGCAAGAGAAGGTGAGAACAAATTTTTTTTCTTACGATTTTAAGTGTTTACTAAACTGTAAATGCCAAGGAACATATATAACTAATCAATGGCATGTAAAATGTTACAGCTTTCGCCGATTTCTGAAACCTTAAAACGTAATGTTACAAACATTAAAAACAACACAATATTTTACTAGACAGTTCACGTGACTTGTTACAAGACAGACTTATAGACTACCATGTTCTTTGATTATCAACTTCATAAAAATCGTTTCTAATGATAATTCATAATATTGCCAAGGAGTTTTCGTGAACTGACCAAGGCTCATATTGTTGCCTCTTAGGTAGTTTGGTAATGCATTCCTGATTCTAGTGCATCTCCTTAAAATGACTTTTAAAATGTGCTTATTTTACAACGAGTTGTAACACGACACGATCGAGTTTTTTTCTGACTGCGAAGGTAAAGATTCATATTTTCAGCTCTGCCCGACTGATTTCTTTCAAAAGTATACAATCGCTTTCAAAATAAACCAGTCGAAAAGAACTGAATATCTGACTATTCATCCTTAAGTAGCTTGATAGTTTTTCCCATAGACGCTGGGCATTTTATGTGAGCTTGTCATCGTGCGCTGAACATGTGATGACAGATCAAAAAGTCAACTTTAATAGATATGTTTCTGAAGTAAGCCCTGCTGATTGCATTTCAGATGACCATGGTTTTGCCTGAAGTGTGTTTAAGATCATAGCCGTATTTTTAGTTTTTATAATAGTATATTTAGTTTTTTGAGTTGCTCATAAACCAATGCTTCGCAGATTTCTGAGAACAGATAACAACGACATACTTTAGCAATTTCATTTTCTGCAAAGTTTTATATAAGCTGGACAATTTCCTCCTTGCATGAATTAACTGCAAAACTTGCATTTGGATCTTCGCATTTGCATTCTGCAGAGCTCAAATGGCTCGACTTTCTGCAAATGGATGTTTCTTCCAATTTAGTTGTTACATAACAATTCTTGCAAAAGTGCGAATTTTTCATAGTTTTCACGTTTTTTTGTCTTCACTTTTTTTTATCCCCTTTTGCGTATCTGATTTTGTAACGGTAAAGAAAAAGTTGAAGGGCTTAAGTTCTAATTTTTTGTGCTAGCTACTTAAATTTTTATTATTTACCATTTATTCTTTGCCAACAGGGAGATTAAACAATAAATAGCTAAAACGAAGGACAGTTTTAACACGGACATTGTGTAATAAATTAATAATAGCTAAAAACAAACTGAAAACATCAAAACTGTAGCTGTATTTCAATTCTGAAATATTTCTAACTTATAAAATTAGCTGTTTCTTTAGGATTTGAATTGAAATACATAATTTAGTGTGACAAAATATTTTGCTTTTTTTTTCAGCGTTATTGATTTGCAAAATGTTCGATATCTTGAACCTAGTCAATCTTTTAAAATTTCATCAATATTTCACAGTCCAGTTTTATAAATTGTAGATAATAATAATCATCATGAAGACGAAAGGAAAACAGAGGGAAACGAAACATCAGATTTCTCAGAGCAAAACAAGTCATCTTTTGATGTTTCAGAAATGGATGTGGAAAAGCTAAAGCAATGTGAGACAAAATTCTTTGAGTGTTGTAGTGTGCTGTTGACTCTGTTTGGTTCGCGTTGACTAGTTTCACTTTGTGAGAATAGGTCGCATGCTGTTATACAGTTTTGGAACTGCATTGTAGAGTAACCAGAGTACTTAAACTTCTACAAGAAATATAGTTTCCTAAATAATTCATATGGTTCATTACTCATGACACAGTGGTATTCATGTTTGTGAGAATTTAATATTTCAAATTGCTTATTTTATTTTATTTGTGATTGTTTTACAGAATTAGTATATATTTTCTGATTTTTAGGTGATCTAAGTAGCTTTCGTAAAGTGGAGAAATTAATAACTGCAGATGGTGGTGTTGTAGAATTGGATGACATTGAGCTGACTGTTGATCCAAATTGTGTAGCTCAACCAACGATGATAAAGTTGATTAAAGAGAATAATGGTGTTTCTTTCTGGAATATACCGCTGCATTTGAACAGCGAAACTTCCCTGAAAGTTCTTTGTTCCCTGAAATGTCTTCCAAAGGGCATAATATTTCACAGTCCTGCTATTTTGAGCGTACGTGTTCATGAGACCGCATTGGTTGTGGAGAACACTTACGTTTTTTGTGGCTCGTATATGGACAATGTAGAGTCCATTACTTGGAACATAACAAGTGATGTCAACTTTGATGTCGTAAGAAACTTGGTTAGCATTAGTATTCCTGAAAGTGCTCCCTACATTTACCTTGCTGGAAATTCTTTGGACGAGCATCGAGTCCTCAGTCATTTGAATCATTCTTTCAATTGCCGTGTTTTTGTATTTCATCGAAGGTTGCCACAGTTAAAAAACAAAGTATTTGATTTATCTGTCGTATTCATCAGTGAATACACGATAAGCATTAGACAGATTAATGATCATTTGCAAGAAGGCTACACTAAAGGAGTGGAAGGAAATTTCATGTTTATTAAGACGGATCGAAAACATCATTTAAATTTGGATATTCCTGGAACTAAGTTTCCAACATTTACATTTGAATTTAACGAGGACGCTCTCGACAACGAAGGTCACGTAATTCATCATTTTATGGGAAGAGAAATACCATACCCTGCTAATGGATGGATGAAAATAACTCAAGTTGATACACCACACAGTGGTAATGAAAAAGTACTTTGGACTCTTAAGATTAATGAAGACCAGCAAATAGGGAATTTAAAAGGTAAAAAAGAGATCATTTTTGTTGGTCTTACAACAATATAACATAATGTTCAACAATCTTTTCTGGTAGAAAACTAATAAAGTTACAAGAAAAGTGAAATATTTGATTTTTGAGTAAATAGTTGAGAAGACAGTAATATAATATGAAATGAACCTCATTTTTCTCCTAAGCTGATTATTAAATGTACATATAAAATATACCAACAGCTTACATTGACAATAGTGTTGATGAGAAAGAAAATTTCTTGAACTTTAGCAGAGTTTTGTTTATTAACAAAACAATACTAATCTGCAGAATTTTGCTATTGCCAGATTATTATTTACAACACTACGTTTATATTTGTGTTTAGAATGTTAGTGTTGTATGTATGTTGTTTGTTGATCCGTTTCAGTTGATCTTCGTTACACTAAACTAACAACAGAGGAAATCGAAAAAATCAGTCAGAAAGCTGCAACTGATTGGAATACACTGGGTGGTCTTCTAGAAATACCTTTTGAGCAACGTGATGAAATTACTGTTAACCACAATAGTTATCCAAATCCCTCCGCAAAGGCTAAAAAGATTTTGAAGATCTTTAATGAACGAACAGATTTTGATCGACATTTATTGAAGAAATATCTTGGAGAAATAAATCTTGATTTGGATGAAATTTTGGCTCCCACAAATCAGGTATTTATTCAACATTTTGGCACACATTGTCACCATTTTTTGCAGAGCAGTTCACCACTGTGGCATTTGTTGTCAAAAACATATAATGCAACACGATTAACTTAGCCTTTACAGCTAGGAATGGACAATGTTATTGAATGTTATGGGTGCATTTTTGCTTTTTATAATCAAAATATATACAAAATTTGAACGTTGGAAGCAGTTACATAAGGTAAAATTTAAATTGCGGTGAAATGACGCGGTATTTCTGCCTTCA